AGTGCGTAAATGACAGCTTGGAGGTTGTTTTCGCGACCAACGTCGAGGTTAACTTTGTCATCAATGCCGGATTTATTATTGAGACAGGAGTAAATGGTAGTGTCGTCTTCGTAAATGCCTACTTGAGACATATTCTAAATAATGCATTCGTAATGTTTTTTTCTCGTAGTCTCTCTTTCTTTCTGACTGTGTTCGCGTATCCTTTGAAAAGATTGCAGTGTAGAATTCATGGATAGCATAGAATAGATAACTGACAATATTTGATTGCAAATTTATTTGTGGATATGTGGTGGTGTAATGGTGTAAAGCAACTCGGAATGATTGATTGATTGATTCGATTTTTACGGCTTATCAACTCTTTGCATGTTATTTAAAACCAGAAAATAAGCTTAGATTGTAAGAAGTTTTTTAGATAATAATCGTTTAATGATACTAATTAATCCTTAGGGGGGAGAAGAAAAGATGGATTCATATCAAATCAGAATTTGAAACACAAGAAATTATTATGGTATAAAGTGGGGGATCAATTGTATATCGCAATCAATATATAAACTGATCCCTCACGTTATGGCAGCGGTAGTTTCTATACATTTATATCCCAGAGAATGTAAATAAACTAAAAAACATGCTGGTGTAACTAATCAGTATTCCATTGATTGATTCGTTTTCTATGGCTTATCAACCGCTTGCGGGTTATTTAAAGCCAGAAAACAATTTTATTAGTACGTGAGTGAATGTAATGGATTCAACTGGAATTTGAACTCAGCTTTCCGATTCTGAGCCGCTATCCATTACTGAATATCCATTACTCCACCGTGCCTCCCACGATGCCCACTAGTAAATCAATTACGAGAATTATTTTAGAGGGACACATGTATACAGATTTTAATTGGCAGTTTAACGACGCCTTTACCGTTAACAAGAAAAAAATTGGAAGTAACAAAATATCAAATGGAGAGATTTCGTTTTTGAGATAAGTAAAAGAGTTTGATGTTCTTGTTTTTTTATTTCCCGTTACTTACAATGTTTGCTTGTTCCGAGGTATCGTATGTCAGTCGAGGGAGACTGAGATTTCGTTCGGGATATGACACAAAATAGTAGTCGAGATAGACACGTGGAGAAAAAAATCAACAATTGGGGGAGACTGAGAGTTGGTTCGGGGTATAACACAAAGTAGTAGTCGAGATAGACACATACATACATGCATATTTAGCTGTGGGATAAATATTCCACAAATTTCCATATTATAGTCGTCGAGAGTTACTCTCCGCTGTTGATGGAAGAGCCTTGGTGCCACTGTTAATGGCTTGGTTAAGCTTGTCTGATGTGGGAGTCCGTCTCAAATACCAGTCTGGTCGGATGTGCCTCCGTGGGTGAAATATGCGTTGATTTTATAGTGAGTCGGTAGCTCAGAAACGACTGCTGCGAAAACCGCGTGAGATTTTTTTTCCGGTTGGTCAGAAAAGATGTTTTATGACGCTGGTACTTTGGGACAGTATTCCGGAAATAGGTGCGCACAGCTGGGCGAAATTAAGGTCATATGAGCTGTGGATATCGAAGTGAGCACTTCCGTTTGAGTTAAAGAATTGGAGTTCCGACAGGGTTCGACAGTAGTCTTTTACGAAGTTTGGTTTTGGTTATACACATTGCAGAAAAAAACCTTGTCCGCAACGGTAAGTAGATGGGAACAGGAAGACATGCATCTGTAGACACGGATGGGTATAATTTCGTCATGGGACACTAAATCTTTGATAGAAGAGAGTTTTCAAGAAGTTATCTCTCAAACTATCAGAATTGCATTTAGGTTTTTCAACAGTAAAATGATTTCAGCTATTTGCCAATCTTGTACTTCCGTTAAATTCACCCGGTCAATGTACAAAAAGCTCATTAGAACAATCGCAATGAAAAATCTGCAAAAATGACACTTGGAAGCCACTTTGCAGAAGTGTTAAAGTGACTGAAGTCGAGATGCCAGGTCAGGACCAATAACATTACAGACCCTTCTTTGGATTTTGTCAAGAATCTCGAGATATATAACAAAGCACCAGATCATATATGGCAGCAATATTCAATGCTCGGACGAATGTTCATTTTTTTTTAATAATGTTAAGATTTATAAACGTGTAAAATAGTGTAGAATAATTTGTCATGGTTAAACACCATTGGCAGAAATGCCCAACAAAGAGAATTGACAAAATTAGTTATAATCAATAACAAGAAAAAGAAAAGAACAAGGCAAAAATAATACTGAGTAAAAAAATATACGAGTATTGTATGCAAGACAAAGCAACAGTAATAAGGCAAAAAGTTTCAGAAACTAAGAATGGTATTGACACACAAAAGACAAGCGATCACAGCGTTCTGGCTTCAATTTAAAAAAAGAACAGAACTAGGTCGAATGAGACTGAAAAGTAGCTTATCTTATTGGCTAGGAAGAAATCCCAGCATGCATCTGTATGTTTTATCTATAAATTTGAGGTGGGGGTATGCGGCCATTCCTAATAGTATTGGGACTAACAGATGGATTCTACCAAGAAAAACTGTTTGGCACGACACAGTTAACCGACTTTCCAAGCAGCAGACCTAGCATGTTTTTTTACAGTAAGACTCATCCCGTACAAGGCTCGGGGCCACTCGAGATAGAGGGTTACATTAATGGGTAGTTTATATGGATAGGAGAGGAAAATAACACTTAACTCTATATTTGAAATGATTAAGATTGTAGTGATCAGGGAAACATCCTCTCGGAAGTCTGTTCCGCAGAGCAGTGGTTCGCAGGAAGAAGCTGTTTGAGTGGAACTTACTTCTTTCCGATGGAATACGGAGGGAATGTGGTTGGTTTGCTACTATGTAAATGGCATGGCAGGTTCTAGCCGTGAAGGTTAGACTGACGGAACCAAGGAATGTTATTTGTCTGAGCACTTTCCATGGTAGTAGCGACACAGAAGTGAGAGACTCACCACATCCCGCCTGTGAGAAAGAGGTTGAAGGGTGGAAAGTAATTCTTCAGCGACGCTTTTGAATTCTATCAAGACTGGAAAGTGAGAACTGGCCAGCTCCCGCCCAAATATGGCAACAGTACTCTATTTTGGGCTTTATCAGGCTCTATAAAGGTAGAGGATAGCATGAAGAGTCGGGTACTTACTAGAACGGTACAGGGAGCCAATCATTTTACCTGCATCTTTAGCGATGGATCGCATATAAGAGTTCCCGTTGAGGTCAGGTGTGAGTTTGAGGCCCAATATTCTCTCAAGACACGGTGCCTCCTCGAGGGGACATCCATTCTTCGTGACTGTCAATAGTTCGGGGCCAGACCGGCAGTGATGGAATGAAAACAGTTTGGTTTTCGAGACATTGAATGTAACCAGTCAGTTTTTGCCCAACTGGGTAGTGTTATATCGAAAAAATGGTCAGCTAGCAATCTCTGATCAGGAGTTTACGGTGCACTCGTATAATCGACAGAGATGCTTACAAATGATCGGATATATTCTGAGGCAGATTTATATAAATAGGAAAGAGGGTTGGTCCGAGCAGTGACCCCTCGGGGACGCCTGTGTTGAAAACCAGGCCATCGGAGAACTGGCTGTTAAAAATTACCTTCAGGGTTCTACCTGTTAGGAAGGATTTTATAACAGAGTAAACCCTTCAAGTGAACTGGCGAACTTGTGTAGCAGACCTTTGTGCCACATCTTGTCGAAGGCCTTCGAGATATCTAATGCTATGGTTCTCGAGGTGTGTGTGTCGTCAAGGGCCTCACTAAGTCTGTGTGTAATGGTACTTAGGTCGTCAGCAGTGGATCGGGCTGAGCGAAACCCATACTGCTCGTCGCACAAGATGTTATTCCTATTTAGGTGCTCGACGACCTTCTTGTTGATTAAAGTGTGGGGTTAACTCCACCTACTTTCCGGAAACCGCTACTAGGGGGGCGCTCTACGGACTATAAATACACTGCGATAATTTTTCGTAGCTTCTTCTTACCTTTTCCGCTAACACGTCAACATGTAAGTTTCCATTGGGAAACACATGAACAAACAAAACACACACACAACATAGGTACGTACGTATATTCATTCACTTCACATCCTTTGGACCAAAACGATTCTCACATTTTTTGTTACGCACACCATTGTCTTTGTCACTTGTATACTTTTCTTGTTAATACATTATCATTTGTTTGTACATGTATCGGTCCTTGTTTCTCTGCATTTATTCACGTGGATTCACATACTGAGTCCGCCATTTTTTGTTGCGGGTACTTCAGGAGACACGTGTTATTTCTCAAATCAAACACCGACATTACTAACCGCTCGCAACAAAAGCATCAAAAAGCTTACTGATGATTCTGAGGAGACAAATTTGTCTATTCTGTTACTGACATATTCATGTTTTAGGATCGATTCTTGTATTCTGTAAATGTATTTAGCAAATTGTCTAAGGTTTAATCTGGGATTCATTTGAAAGATATGTCGAATGAGTTATTAAAGCGAGAATACAAAAAACAAACATTTTATCGGAGAAAAAGACCAGAAGATTCGCGAACTTTTTATTATAAAAAGTAACGAATTCTTTTATTAATTTATCAGTGTGATTCTAAAAGGGTGTAGTGGACATACGCCTCTTTTACACAGACAATATTCTGATACAAATACTTTTTTGTAGTCAGGCTGTAATATAAAAAAATCGTATATAATCATTTTTATTTTGGATTTATAACTTTAATTCATCGTTTCATTCAACCTCAGCATCCTCGACTTACGCCCATATCACGCTAAGTAAATAACAGAGTCTCAAGATGACTACCGCGGATAGAAAGCGAATAGGTTCACACTACAGAATGTTTGCACGATAAGTTCAATCCTTGCTGGGTTCCTCGTTATTGTGGCTATTTGAAACATCCAGAAAAAAGATACACTCTCTTAAAAGCACACACTTTCTCTTTCTCTTCCTACCTCTATCTTTCTCACTCTCGAAAGAGACAGATTGATCTCTTTTTCTCTTTAATGTCTTCCAGTCCCACCCTCTCTCTAGATCTGCACAATGAATATGTGTATTCTTTTCCCTCTAATACATTTACCTCCCTCTTCCCCCCCTCTCTCTCTCTCTTTCTCTCCGTGCATAGATCTGAACAAAAATTGGAACGCATACCTTTTCTTTCATGCAGTCTGTCTTCTCTTTCCCCACCCTTTTCTCTCATTCACTCTGACTCGCTCTGTATAGATCTGCACAAAGAATATGTATGATCTCTCTTTTCTCTCTCATGTGTTCTTCCCCTCTTTCTTTCTTTTTTCTTTTTTCTAGATCTGCACAAAGAATGTACACGTTCTCTCTTTCCTCTCTAATGCCCTCTATCCTCTCTCTCTCTCTCTCTCTCTCTCTCTCTGTATAGATCTGCACAAAAAAAGTATGCATGTCTTCTTTTCTCTCTTATGCATTCTATCTTCTCTTTCACTCCGTACAGTGATTTTCTAAGCGTAGCTAAAGTGTGACGCAATGGGGCACCCAGTGAGGAACCAACTCACTACTCAGTCGTAACTGCTTTAACGAGACAAGCTTGCTAACCATTATACCATATCGAAGCGTCCACATGGTATGTATAGATCTGCACAAAGCATATGTATGTCCTCTTTTCGCTTTCATGTCTTCTATCCTTTCTTTTTTCCTTTCTTTCTTTTTCTTTCTTTCTTGATCTGCACAAAGAATGTGGTCGTTCTCTTTCGCCTCTAATGCCTTGTATCCTCTCTATTTTGTTTTCTCTTACGCTCTTATTCACTGTCCTCTTAATAGATCTTCACAAAAATGGTATACGTTCTCTCTTTTCTCTCTAATACTTTTTATTCTCTCTCTCTCTCATTCACTCTTTCTAACGCACACACTCTCTATATATGTGTATAGATCTGCACCAAGGATAGTGTATGTTCTTCCTTTTTCTCTCTAATACTTTTTACCCTCTCTTTCTCTTTCTCTCTCACTCTATCTCTCTTTATAGATCAGTACACAAAGAATGGTATACTTTCTCTAGTCTCTTTCTAATGCATTGTATTCTCTCTCTTTCTCTCACACACAAAATGGTATACACTCTTTTTCTTCTCAAATGAGTTTTATCCTCTCTTTCTATGTATGCATAGCTCTGTACAAAAAACGGTGTACTTTCCTTTTAATGTTGCCTATCACCCCATCTGTCTATCTGTTTCTATATATATAGTATACATTCTCTTTTTTTTCTCTAAAGACTTATATCCTCTCTCTAATTAATACTTTTTCTTTAATACCTTTTATCCTTTATCTATCTATCTATCTATCTATCTATCTATCTATCTATCTATGTCTCTTAATACTTTATCTATCTATCTATCTATCTATCTATCTACGTCTCTTAATATCTATCTATTTATATATCTATCTCCAAACTTTTTTTCGTCTGCTTTTGCTCATTTACAACTAATGCAATATATATTCTCTTTCAATCTATCAGTTTATCCCTGTCACATATATACTTAAGCTCAACACGAATATATATATATATATATATATATATATATATATATATATATATATATATATATATATATAACCCGAACTACAGATATTCATATAAAAAGGAAAATGACAAAATGCTTTTCACAAATGATAGATCAAATATAAGGTGTAAATAAAAAGCGACAATCTCTTGTTGCAAATCGATTTTGCAAGTTCATAAAACGCCCAGGTTAACGTCTCATCAATGAGACGTTATCCATCATGTCTAATTTCTAACAAAATGGCGGCGAAAGAAATCAGAGTAAAAATGTATATGTCGAGGGTTCTAAATAGCTGGATGGGGTGTTTACTAACGAAAATGCCTTAAGGGATTTAAATAAAAAAAATTAACAAAATAATAAATAATAATGAGAATATATTTCTTTCTCTCAACTTGTTTAAAAAAAAAATGATTGTTTTTTTTATAATAAAAGCTCAACTGATATTTTATTAGCTAACAACAGTAATATATATATATATATATATATATATATATATATATATATATATACACACACACACACACACACACGCACAGACACACACACACACACATAGCGCGATGGATAAATTGTCGCCATTTTATATATGAATTTCGCGCATGCACGTTGCTTACCTTTTATATTATCGACTGTACAATTTAGTTATGTCAGTTGAGCATCGTCTGTAACGAAAACATAACTATGGCGCAATTCACTCCGCCAGAAATTTGGAAACGGTATCCTGTACTACTTGGCATTCGCGCCGGAAGTTCCAATAGGAACACTTCAGATTGTTTGAGCGTCAATCTGAGGACAGCGCAGAGCATTCGGAAAGAATTGGATGAGTCTAATGGTGATTACGAAGGTGTTTGGTATGATCACTGGTGATGCTGACATTATGTCTCCATAGGTTTTCAGACATAACACAGAGGCCTGCTTCAAGTGTCTTGAGGAGGTAATGCTGTCCTGGGTCAAGAGGGAGGCTGCTATGTGTGGTAACCATACCACATAAACAGGAGAACCCAGTCATGGCTAACATACAATTTCTGCGGCAACATCACTCATTACCACTGTCACCTAACTCAACATACTACAACTCCCTTGATTATTGCGTGTAGGGCGCAGTTGAGCGAGAGATAAAAAAAAACTCCTTGTAACACCAAAGATAACTTGAAAAGTAAGGATTATGGCAACATAAACAAGGAGACCGTCTAGAAGAGTTGCAGAAGATTTCGAAGTCGTTTGGAGACTGGAATTGAAGCCAATGGCGATTTTATTAAATTTACTCTTTAGTATTTCAAGATATTCTTGTGTAATTTTGGTAAATATATCCGTTAAAATGAGATGTCAGTGTTATTTTCATTTCTGCGCAATTTAGACGTCAATTTATCCATTGCACCATATATATATATATATATATATATATATATATATATATATATATATATACACAGGCTACTAATAGATTGAATTTAATATTTCCACTAAGCAAAATACTTTTTCTGTATTTCAAAACTAATTTAAATTAATTGCAATTAGTTTTCGTCTTGAAATCAATAACATCGCTGATTTTAGCGCCATTTTTAGCTCTCCGTCATTGCAATGAATTAAAAAAATCTTTCAAAAATATAGTATACTTTTCTGAAACTTTATTTGAGGAATATTAGCTGATTTATTGTTTAATTAACCTGATTTGAAATAAATATTAATGTAGTTTAAATATCGCAGAAATGCATTTTTAACGCGGCGGTAGCTGTTTAGTTAAAGTATTGACAGATTGAATGACACATGGAAGTTTATCTAATATTTTTCTGTGGTGGATATATCTGTAAAATTAACCCGAGGAATATAACGGGAGTGCTTTTTTTTAATATAATTTCCAACTACTCAATAATCTTAAAAATTTAGGAAAATATTCTCCGTAATCTAATGTTTTATTAAATTTAAATAATTATTAAAATTTTAATAATTTTAATATAATAATGATTTTAAATTATTAAATTTTTTTAATATTTTAATAATTCTAATATAATAATAATTTTAATTAAACTTTAAAATTATTAGATTGACTATAGTTATTGATCTTATTTTCTGATAATATCGTGTATGGACATCAGTATTTAAAAAACTCGTTCAAAAAACCGGGGAGTCATGTGATCCGGACAATAGGCGAACCTGTCTACTCCGATTGGTGGGGAAAAAAAGTAAAATAAAATAAATAATTAGTGAATAAAGTTTCAGACTTCAGTTGCACACGTTAGGAGTACGGAGCTGAAGTAGACTTTAGAAGGAACCGGAAACTCAATACTAAACATGAAAAACGGGATGAACCTCTCTACTCCTGTTCAAAAGACCGGGGAGGGTGTGATTTTAGATTCTTGTAGCAATAAATTATTTTTTTTTTATCTCTTGTGATCATTTTCATTAAAAATAACATTTTGCTAAGTCGAACAGGAAGGGCAAGGTTGAGTTGCTATTTTCTCTGCTTTAGAGTTTCGTAATAAATCATTTTTTTTATCTCCAATGATAATTTTCCTAAGACGAACAGGAAGAAAAGTTTCAAGTCGCGATTTTTTTCGTTTTAGTCAAACGTAATAAATCATTTTTTAATTAACAGTTAACATATTTTTTTAAGAAAATGATCATTATTGATTTTAAAAAAAATGGGGGCATTTCATACTTCAAACAGGAAAGGAAGTATACTATTAGGTTTGATCGATATTCGGTTCTAAACTTTATTTAAATAACATTTCCATAGATTTAAAGTTACACACACACACACACACACACACACATATATATATAGTGTGCGTGTGTATGTGTGCGATGGACAAATTGTCGTCAAAATTACACAAAAATGAAAATAACACTGACATTTCATTTTAACAGGTATATATTTGTTAAAATCACCAAAATTACACAATAATATCTTGAAATAATAAAGAAGAAATTTATTCAATAAAACCGCCATTGACTTCAACCACGGCTTCGGAATCTCCTGCACCTCTTCCGGGCTGTCTCCTTGTTGATGAATGCTGCCGTAATCCTTACGTTAAGTTCAATTTTGGTGTTACACGGAATTTTTTTTTTTGTCTCCCGCTCAACTGTGCCCCATACATAATAATCAAGGGAGTTGCAGTCTGGGGAGTTAGGTGGCCAGATTTAATGTGTGATGTGGTCGCAGAAATTGTCTGACAGCCATAACTAGGTTCTCCTGCTTGTGTGGCATGGTGCAAATTTCTGTTGCTAAGCATAGGGTCTTCCAGCAGCCATCCCTTTGACCGAGAGCAGCACCCAAACATTCTGAAATGTTCATATTGGAGCTTCCTGAGCGAATGGCAAGCAGTACAGCATGCCGTTTCTAAATTTTCTGGTGGAGAATGGTGCTCTTTTTCTCATAGACGGTGCCCAACTGCAGTCGGTAAAATAAAAAACAATGCGCATGAACGAAATTTAAAATATAAAATGGCGATAATTTACCCATCTCACCCTGTGTGTGTGTGTGGGTATATAATATATAATATATATATATATATATACTTAGAAATATACATAATACTTTACATTGATTGCATAACTCTGAGTTTCATGCCAACGCAATTTTCAAGTGCTGATATTTTTGTGGATTAACACCGGATTTTTAATATATTTGTGGACATCGCGAGATATTACATTGTTGGGCTGGATTATTATTGTTGTCAAATTATTTAAATCAGTTGTAGTTTACAGATCAGATTGACATTTAGACTGCTCGCTCGTACATTTACCTATATTTATTCATTTGATTACACACACACACACACACACACACACACACACACACACACACACACACACAGACACACACACACACACACACACACACACACATATATATATATATATATATATATATACAGTGCTGTTCGATAAAAATGACTCACCTGATTTTTTTTACTTAAAAATTTTTTTGCCTATTGTTTTTGGGGTCAAACTAATTTTTAATCTTACTAATATAAAGACCCCTTCCCGACCACATAGTAAAAAAGTTTAATCACCCTAAGGTATTCTATTGATAATTATAATTTTGGATATAAATGAGATTTAGGGAAAAACTCTGTGCAAAAAAAAAAAGTGCTTCACTTATTTCCTGCAACTAGTAATCAATAGAAACATAACCGAACAGCTTTAAATAAAGAATAATAGAGGTATAATTTATTTATAATAGGTAATATAGTTCGAAATATTTAATAATCTATGGGTCCTTCTTTATTTTGAATAACCTTTTCAATACTTTTTGGCATTGACTTGATTAGGTTCTGGCAAATCTCATCTCCAAGCCTTGAATTCCATTCGGATATGAAATTCACAATCAAATCCTCATTGTTGCTCAACTGCTTTCTCGAGAGCCGGCACTTTATAATGCCCCATAAGTTTTCTATGGGGTTGAGGTCAGGAGATTGCGGCGGCCATATCATAACACTCACCTGCGTCTCATCAAAGTATTCCTTCATCAATTTTGATTTGTGACAGGGCGCATTATCCTGCATAAAAATGAGCTTGGTGGGGTCGATTTGCACCCTTTCAGCAGAAGGGAGCAGACAAAACTAAAATTATCTTGTACTGCTCGCTTCTGAGGGTCTTTTTAATAGGTTTGAAGAAACTAGTTCCATGAAAAGAAAAGCATCCCCAGAACATTATACTGAACGGATCCTTGACAGTACTTACTGCTAAATTCAAAGAGATTTCAAAGCTTCTTCTTCGGATTTTAGATCGCTTATCCTTTGAATTTAGCTCAACTTTCGTTTCATCGGAGAAAAGAACATTTAGTAAAAAAAATCAGGTGAGTCATATATATATATATATATATATATATCGACAAACCTGTCATCAATGGACTAATAGGAGGGTAGGTAGTCCGTTAAAGCCGATTGTCCGTAGATGTGAACCAATTATTTTTGAGTTA